TTTTTTTTATAAAATCGTGTGCTAGCTGTCAACGATTTTTTAGTGATTCCGGATGCAACAATAGGATTGATAGGAAGATAGTGTTGGGGAATATGGTTACGATGCCAAGTGATACGTGCGGATACGTCCTTTTCCTCCTGCTTCTCGTGCCGTACATCGAGAGTGGTAAGTGGTTTATCATCATTATCTCTGAATATCTCTTGCATCCATGTCCTCCCTTGCATCCGCATCTCTCCCAGTATCATTCTCGTGGTTAACAAATAATTCATTGTTTCACCTTAATGCTGAGTTGAGAGCTAGAGTGTCACACGTGATAAACATATGATGCGTTGAAGCACGTTCGCCAGTTGCCACTGGTGAATCATTCGAGAGGCTAGTAACCAACATCTCGCACAATTAGCTATTAGACATTTGCCAATTCTCCAATAACATCAGAATAATCCATTATTCCATTTGACTCTCTCCGGTGAAGTTTATAATATAATAAAAATCGCGAGCTGTGTTTTCTCCTGGGATTACCTAAAATTGAAGTTTCAAACAGAGAATAGTCCATACGTCAATAAATTTTTCATTTGCTTAATGGCAATTTCCTCCATTTATTTGATAAATATTTCGAATAGCAATGCTTGTTCATATAGAGGCACATGCACACGATGGCGTTTGGTTTTCCCATTGCTATTGTTATTCGATTTTCGTCTCTCTGGTCGTCAAATTCGTCTATGTATAGATTGTATTCATCACATACACGAGAGTCAGTACTCTCCACGCTTCGTCTACTCGCTGTTTCATCGCTATGAAGGTTTTCTCCAGTTGGCGTCCAATTCCGCAATCGAAAGCGTTGAAAAATAATACTTTCCGTTTGTTACAGGTCGGTTATGACGTATATTTATCCTTCTTGCTGGGTTCGATGGGTATCGTCAGGAAAAAAAGAGGGAAAAATACAGAAAATACAAAAAAAAAACGCTTTATACGAACGTAGAAAAATGAGAGATGATATGTATTATGTGTTGGTCTCAGGTTTCAAACCAGTTCTGTGCACTCATTCGTGATTCAGTTTCATTTGCATTTTAGAGTAAAACCGCAGGTTCATTTTCTGGTGCTCTTTCATGGTGGTTTTTATATAGCACGAACAACATGAAATAGAGGGTTAAGATTCAAGAATTTATTATGCAGTATCATAGCAATTCTCTCTATATTACACATTCGGCAAATATCAGGATTTTTTTGGATTATAAGTTTTAAAAATAGTTCGCGGTTTATAGTTTGATTTTCTAGACTCGGAAAAAAGTGTGACTCATTTGTAGAAGCTGTGAAATTTAACTCGGATGATCCACAAAGTTGCGAAAGCGATTTGCAGAGATATTCCGCGACTTCTCGCTTTTCTCCTTTCAATGCTATTTACACCGTTTTCCTAATCTTGTAGTACATCCAGCATTGATCCTGAAAGGTTCGCTCCTCTTTCGTGAGAAACTCCGGTATATTCCCCTTATGATGAAATCTGCTGAGTGCTTTCAGAGGTAAAAATCCCGAAATCGGACAAAAAAATGCTGATCCTATAATTTTAGGGAGTAATTGACTCGGCGTGGAATTCACCTCAATTTTCTCTCTCACCAGCATTTTCAATGATTGACAATCGAACCTATTCCTCATTTTTTAAATTCCAAATCATCTTTGTAGATGTCGAGACTATTTCACTTTCATATGTTATTTCATATTAATGAAGAGAGGTCAATGACATATGGCTTTCTGACTCACCTCCAGCTGCGTTTGTCGTGACTATCTACAATTTTCGGCTGTCAAGGCTGCAGACAACAGACGTATAGTTAGAAATCAAGTCGTGTGAGTTTTTACAAGGCCAGCTTGAGAAGCAGAAAAACATTTATCTCGATTTGCTCGAGTTAAAATAGTTTTGAATATTTATAAACGGAGTAGTGTACACTGGATAACAACTATTCCATATTGATTTTACATTGTGAGTTCAAGTTTATCGATTATTTGAACAAACCTAACATTGAATGCTGGCCAGAGAGATAATTT